CGGCCAGGGCCGCCCCCGCACCGAGAGCAACCGCAGGCCAAGGGGGAGCACAGGGTGGTGGGGGGGAAAGTTGGGGACCTGCTGTCCCAAACCCTGGGCATGGGGATACCGCCAGCACCCTATGCTGCCAGGAATTCCAGCTCCATTGATGGTCCGGGGACCGGTGCTGGATGCTGCTGCCGGGATGCCAGCAACATCCCTGTTCGCTGGAGGAGTCGAGGTGGGGGGGATATGGGGGGGCTGTGCAGGTCACACGTAGCATGAGCATGTGAGGTCTCAGCTCCGGCTGTGTGCTGATGAGCTGCTGCCACCGGACACGCTTATCTTGAGCCATCGAAGGCAGGCAGGGAAGGTGTGAAATTTTGGAGGGGGAGATGCTCAGGCACCGAGCAGCACCGAGTGTGGTGCTGGGTGCTGTGAGCTTGGGGTGCAGGCAGGGGTGATGGTGGTGGTTGCTGTCTTTTTGAAGTGCTGGCAGGGAGGAAGCAGTGACATCTCGCTGCGGTCCCCAGGCACTCACTGTCCCAACCTCCCACTGCTAACCATCACCTGGGTGCTCGTAATACACCCAAACACCTGCAAACCTGCCACCCCTGGGTACCCCGGGCACCCAATCATCCCCCCAGCACCCTGCCATCCCCCCCTTGGGCATTCCGTCATCCTCCCAGCATCCTGACACCCACACCTTGGGCACCCTGCTACCCTCTTGAGCACCCTGTCATCCCTCTAGCACCCTGCCATCCCCTCTTTGGGTACCCTGCCACGCTCTTGGGCACCCTATCATCCCCCTAGCACCCTGACATCCCCCCCTTGGGCACCCTGCCACCCCCTTGGGCACCCTGTCACCCTGTCATCCCCTCCAGGCCCTGCATCCCCCGGCTCTCCCCAGGGCACTGGGGTGCTCTGGGGTCCCAGGACACACGTCCCCATCCCAGCCCTGCCTCGCTCCCGCTGCCGACCCCGGCACTATTTCGGTCTCATGGCTCATTCTCGCTCTCAACCTCCTTTTTCTTTCCCTTTCCCTTCCCCTTCTTGCTGTCACCTTCCCGTTTCCCCCTGCCTGGAGGGAGGGTGACAGTGGGGATCTCCCTGCAGCCCTCCCCCCCCCCGGGGTGTTGTGGGGCTCCCTCCAGCCCTGTGTCTCCCCCCTGGGTGCTGCAGCTGAGCCCATCCCTGTCCCTGTCCCCGCAGTCTGCCCCATACCCTGTCCCTCCCCTTGCACGTAGTGACTCAAGGCCTGGGCATGCCCCAGTGTCCCTCCAGTTCCACCAGTGCCTGGGGAACTGGTTTGACCTGGGGAGGACCCTCCCCAGCGCTGAGTAAATCCTCCCTGGCCAGCCCCGACGGTGCTGGGGGATGCAGCAGGGAGCTCCTGCTTCCCACAGAGCTGCGGCCAGCTGGCTTGGCTGGTTTGGCATGTACACACGCTTGCACATGCATGCACACCCTTGCACACACGTGCACACACACACACACACTCACACATTGCAGCCAGCCCCGGTCCTCCCAGGACCTCCCCATCACTGCCCCTCCACGGCGCTGGAGGGATGCAGGGGCTGGATCCTGCTCCTGTGCCAGGGCCACGAGGATGGGCAGCCGGGCCCTGCGTGGGCATTCAGCCATCCTTGGACTCCCTGGGGCTGCTGGGGACCCCTCCGTGTCCCCTTTGTCTCTGGGGCTGTTCCTGAGGGGACTCAACTGGTACTCACTGGTACCACCATGGAAGTGGGGCCACAGCCCTGGGGTGGCCGGGCAGGAGCTGCCAGCGTTCCCATTCTCCAGGGAAGGGCTACGGCTGCGGGACCCCACGCAGGAAATTTTCCTCCCGAAGCAAACCAGTGTGAAAGGAGGTTTCTGCCCCAAAACCCTTCCCCTGCCACTCCCCACCTGGTTGTGTTTTGCACATGTTTTCTCAAGCCACTGTGTTTCCTGTGAAGGGCGCTGGAGGGAGGCCAGAGGCTCCGGTGAAACCCGGCAGAGGAGGAGAAATCAGCTTTTTCTGGTCTTCTCCGGTGGGGCAGCTTTTTGGGAGGTACTGGAATGGGTGTGGGACTCATCCCCTCCCCACTGTCACAGGAGCAGGGCAGCCCCCCTGGGTCAGGGTCCCCACCCAGGGCTGCCGTCACAGCTGGGAGCTGCTCTGTGCGCTCACTGAGTGCTTCTTCAAAGCAGTGACCGTGCTAGCCACCAGTAGGTTTCAGAGTTAACACCCTGTTTAAGGGGAGCCATTCACATGGTCTCAGGCTGTCGGCCAGCCCCAGCCAAGGCTGCTGCCGCTCCTGGCATTTTTTCAGGCTCCCCATGCAGCCGGGGCTGGTGACACCAGCTGGTGGGTGGCCGAGGTCCCGCTGTCCCTGTGGTGGGTGGCGATGGCACCTCTGCCACCCCAGGCCAGGACAAGAGAGCCCGAATGTGTGGGGCCTGGGGCCCTGCTGCATCCCCATCCCATCCCGCACGGCTCCCAGTGCCCCCAGTGTCCCCAGTGCGCCCAGTGCCCCCAGTGCCAGGTTCAGCCCTCTGTCCCCATCCCCACGTGGGGCGTTTCTGCCAGCTGCAGCGGTGGCAGGTGGGTGGCCGGGGAGGGGATGGTGACCTCCCTCTGCTTTCCTGGGGATTTTCTCTCCGGGGGGACGCCGTCATGGTGTCACCGGCGGCGTCTCCCGGAGCTGGGCCATGCCCTATCGAGGGAGCCAAGTCCCCAGCCACGGGGCCGTGTCTATTAGAGACAACCCGGTCCCACCTCCTCCTCTTCCTCCCTGCGGAGCTGCAAATACCGAGGCTTCACCTCGCCTCTCCAAATTTAGCAAAGGCCCCCGAACCCGGAGGTTTCCTGTTCACTCTCTCCCAGCAGCCACTGAACCATAACACGGTGGTGGCTGGGGCACATCGGTGGCTGCGGCGCTGGAGTGGAGCAGGTAGGAGCCACCGCGCTGCCGTGTCCCACGGGGACATCGCCATGCGCGGGCATCCCTGCCGGCTCTTCTGCCCTTTCCGCCTCCCCTGCAGACCCAGCTCCCATCGCATGGGGCTGCCATCGCCGCTGTTTGCCATCTTACAGGGCACAGCATCGGCTGGCGGGGACAGAGCTCCTCGGTGCCGGGACACGGTGATGCCGGGACATGGTGATACCGGGTGGTGTGTGGCTTTGCTTGCCGGGCTTTGGCTTCCTGAGCCCGCGCCACAAACCTGGTCTTTAGGCTTGACCGTTGCTTTGGGTTTAGTTACCCCAAAAACAAGCAAAGGGGGGGAAAAATGTCTGTTTGCCTTTCGATGGCTGGGGAAGCGGGGCCGAGCCAAGGGCACTGCCCTGCCCAGATGCGCCCCAGCCCCGGCTCTGCTCCCTGCCTGGCCCTCGGTTTGTGCTTGGCAGGTTTGGACAATCCTCCTGTATATGCCATTTTTTTCCCCCAGTGATGCCTTTTCATGCTCGGGATCGGGGTCGGCACCAGGGCGCCGGGGCTGGGTGCCAAGGCCGTCCCCAGGGCACTGGGACATGGCCGGGCTCTGCGCACCCCAAGCATTCCCCCAGTGCATCCCTGCCAGGACGGGGTCCTGCTCCGCTCCCCAGCCTCAGTGCTCAGGGTGCTCAGCCTGTTGGGTCTGGGGGTGCGGGATGGGGTGAGGAGGTGGCAGAGCCCCCCCAGCCCCCTCTGAGCGGTGGCCAGTGCCCCCCCCAGACTGGCTGTGGGGAGTGGCGAACGCATCCCGCAGGACATGCAGGTCCAGTCGCCGCTCGGGGACATCTACCCTGGAGGGGACACGTGACGGGCAGCCCTCCTGGTGGATGAGTACCGACCCCACTGCCACCGCTGTGGTCCCCCCTCACCCCACAACCTCCCTCTCACCTCCAAGTACACATGGGGACACCCCGACCCCCCCCCAGCCCTGGGCTCCACGGGGAATGGCTCAGCCCTCCCCAGATGCTGCTGCAGGGGGCAAACTGAGGCACGACTGGGGTGGGGCAGTGGGAGGGGAGGGACAGCGGTGGGGGGGCCCTTGGCCACCCCCCTGTTTCCAAAACCACCCCCAAGCCACCGGGCTGGGGTTTGAACCCGAAACCCCTGTGCCGAGAACTGGTGTCCGCAGGGTCCGGCCCCATAAATCTGCTCCAGGTCCCAGCTCGTGTCCCCCTCCAGGCAGGTCTCCTGGCCAGAGGGAACCCCTGCCCCCCCTTGCCACCCCCAGCCCTCATCTCGGTGCCTGGATGTGCTATGTGAACCTGGGCCCCGTGGTCCCCCACCTCCTGCTCTGCCCCAGCGGCCTCGGCGTCTACTTCTGCTGCCTGCGGCTGCTGCCCGCCCACCCCGAGCTCCCCGCGGGCCACAGCCGGCAGCCCACCCGGCACCCACCACCACCACCGTGGCCCCCGTGGCTCCATGAGGATGTGGCTGGGAAGGGGATGGTGCTCTCTGTTCGTGCTCTCCTGCGCTCCTTCCTCCCCCTGCTCTTCCTCCCTGCCCTCCTCTGCCTCTTCCCTCCCGTCCCTGGGATGTGGGCGGTTTCTCCCCCCTTGTCGCTGGGGCCAAGCTGCTGGCTGCCCCCAAAGGGCTCCTGCCCAGGGCCGAGGGCTCGGCAGGCCCCCCCCAGCAGCAGAGCCTCCCTTGCCTGCCCTCGCAGCTGCCTGCACCCCTGGCCCCACAAATCCGGCAGCGGGTGCTTCTGCCTGTCCCACAGACACAGTTTTGCTCCTGCCTGTGTTGGGCTTCCCGCCACCAGTCCCCCGACCCCAAGCTCCCTGTCCCCCCTGCGCTCCCCGCTGACCCCCCCGGCTGCTCCTCTGCCCGCAGCCCCCGCTGCCACCACGGC